CCCAGCGTTTTTTGGCGCTCTCGCCTGCTCCCTTGCTCGCCCCGGCACTGGTGATTTATGAACGCCGGGAAAATTGAACAAAGCCGCGCGCCTGTCCTGTGGTATCTCTGCAGCCTTCCCCAGCGTGAATCAGAACATTACCAACTGTCTGTGCATCCGTCCCACTTCATCACCAAAGCCAGGATGTGACCACAGAAAATCTGAGCCAGAACTCACGTTTTCCCGGACGCGGCACGCTCCCCGGACTTGTAGAAACCCCTCAGAAAAAGCCCCAAGACCCAAAGAGGGCCTGCCAGCTCCGTCCTTCTGGGCGAAAGGCTGGCGCCTGCTTTCCTGAAGGAGTTAAAAGCCTTTGGAGATGAATCTGAGAGTGTGTGTTTTTGAAAATCAAATAGGAAGTTGGGGTCTCCCTTCTGAGAGATTCATTCCTTGTGAGGCCCTGTGACTCCGATCTGTTCCTGACGATCCGCATTAATTATTTAATGAGTCACGTGACCCCAAAGATTACAATTTCAATATCTCCCTTGAACAGTTACTACACCTTTATCTGCTGCAATCAGGGTCTTATTTTCCCTTTTTTAGTTCCCCAGGCCTCCGGAGCAGGGTCCCCTTGCAGGGGTCCTGGACAAGCTACTGCCATTGATAGCCAAGGGCCAGATCCAGTGAGTGTAGAATTAAGTTATTTGGGCCTACGAGCATTTTAGACAGTAAGTGGGAAACCCACCCCTCTCCCAGGCACCCTGAGCCTAATTGTCAAACCTGTCTGAGTGCTTTGACTATGGTAGCTTGGTTACATAATCTCCCAGGACATTATGATGGCAGACCAGGCAAGAACCCACTCTTCTTTCCTGGCCACCACACACCTGTGGTGGTACACCTCAAGGCCAGATACATACATTCATTCTGGGTAGAGTCGGCTTCTGTTGAGGAAAGAAGCCCATGCATCTACCCCTATCCAGGGTCAGACCAAAAGTTTTATTCAGCCTACCCACTCATTAACATAAAGAACATGGTGAGGGATCATTCCTGCTGTTTCAGTTACCTATTTGTAAACTGAAAAGATTGAACCAAAATGGCCACCATTTTTTTCACCTGGGACATTCTTGCAATCTGGAAATCGCTTTCAGCTCCAAGAATCAACCCCAGAGAGAGTGGGACAGGCCTCAGGGTGGGCAGGGCTTTTTACTTCATGAGTTTGGGGCTTTGAGAAGAAGAGATCCTAAAGTTCCAAGGTAGATGTTCCTGACTAGGTTTCACAGCAGCCCCAGCATCCTTCCTAATGTTATCAAGGAGACAGAAGACGTATCTTTTCTTCTGCCTATTGTTCTCAACCCAGACTTTTTGAAAGAGAAAGCAGAACTATTTTGGGGCCAGTACGTGAGAAGGGGCAGCAGGAGCAGCAGTTGAAAAGGGTGGGCCTGGGTTCTCCAGTGCAGGATTCAGAGACCAAGAGAGTACAATGGAGGGCCTACTGCCTGCCCAGAATCCACTCATTCAGACAGCAAGCTCCAGGTTTCTGTTTGCTACATTGATTTTTTGGGGGTTTCCTACAATTGCATTCTGAAGAGTAGCTGATCTGTTTCCATATTAAAACTGCTAGAGGGAAGGCAGTGAGTGATGAGAAGAGCAGGAGAGTTTGGAAGCTTTGGAGAGCAGGGAGACAGAAGGATGGTGGCCGTAACCACCACTTGGGGAGGAGGCAAAGGTGGAGGGATGAAAGCACCTGGGTATAAAGTCAGAGGCTCAGTGAGAGGGCTCAATCCTACCAGCCCACCCCCCCCCACACACACATATCTAGGTAATCTTCCCATGAGCTCCATCCTGGGTATTAAGTACTCTACTATGTCTGTCACAGTTGAATTCCCGCTGTAATAAAACATCGGGTATATCGTAGATTTCAGCAAAACTAGGGAAGAGAGCCTACCAAGTGCCATTTTCCTTCAAGGGGGAGAATGTTAAGTACTTAATTCAAACTGTGACCATTAAAGTGTCTCCTATCCGATTTAGGTTGATTTCAGACATTGACAAAACTTTTATCTCCAGAGTCATGCACAGCTTGGCTCTTCAGTAACGCAGATGAGTATGTGTGCTTGAGGGTGGGGGAGAGAGAAAGAAGGAGGGAGAAGAGGACAGCATGTATAAGGGTCATGTTGGTAGGAGAAGTATAGAGCTTACACAAAATACTGTCTTTAAAGGTCAAGGGTTTGAGGGGCCAATAGGGTTTACTTAAAAAAAAAAATTAATGAGATAGAAAATTTGTCCTCTCGGTGAACTCTTATGGTTGCCCTAGCAAAGAGCAGACATGCACAATTTTGAAACACATAGTGGGATTTTCTAAACCGTTATAGCAAGTTCTGTTAAAGGCCAAATCTAAAACTGGCATAACACTGGGGGGAAAAAAAAGTCATAATATTTTATATCATTTTGGATAACTTTAGTTTTGCAAAATTCACCAATATCTTAATAATCATGTCACCCCAGAAAAAAAATACCATTCTGTCCTAGAATATTAGAAAAACTGTCTCAATCCTCTCTTCCTTTCCTAGGAGACTATGAGCAAGTGAAAGGAAGTTATCCCTTCACCCCCAAAACAAGAGTCTCTAGCATAAAGCTAATGAATGCCCCTATACCCTCTCCTCCCCACAAAGGAGAAATATAAGTTTTTACCTGAATGATGATAATCTGCCATTTGAGGATTTGCAGTTGGACTCTCACTTTCCACCGAGAATCTAGGCATTTTTTGAGCAGACAGCCAAGATGCTGTGTCTTTGCCTGAGACCACATTATTTGCAAGAAGATCCCTTGCTCCTCCACAGACTTTTCCCAGAGAATGCCTTTCAGAATTGCTGTTGAATTACAAAGAAGTATTTATTGTATGAGGTGATTAATGATTCCTGGGAAAATTGCTATTTTCAGCGTGATTTAATTTCGTTTTACAAGTAAGTGTAGTAGGGGGAGGGTTAATAAGTTTCAGCGGCAGTTGCGGTGCCTCCTGGCACCCATTCACACCTTATAAAATGCACTAAATGCCTGATTTGGACTGACTTGGGAAGGCATAGTTGTTTGCCCCCGAGTTTTCTTGGGAAGGATAGAGAACCCTAAGAGATTGGTACCCATCACTTTCCTCTCAAATTTGGTTTGTTCATAGATAGACAGCTGATCACCCCTGCCTGTTACCATAAGCAGCAGGGATGACAACCACAGACTAAGTGTGGTAGCACTGTTGGAAAGATGTGTTTAAAAATTCCTCTGATGTTTTAGAGGTACATGAGCATTCTCCCACCATCTCTGCTAAATTCCATCAACTAAAATACTGTGTTCATTCAAGGCCAGGTGATGGTTCTAATATTCTGGGGTTACCATGTTTTGCTTTTGTGTCTCCTTGCAGGGAACTGTCTTTACTGAGCACCAAATCTAAATCTAAATTGGTAAATAAATAATAAAGTCATAGAGATTAGAGATAAGGGACTTGATTTTCAACCTTTTGAATCTACATTTCTTGGATTGGGTAGAAACATTCTAGAGCATTTGAGGAAAGTGACCCTAATTCAGTTTGGCTTTCTTCCAGCAGCAAACCCTTCCAGGTATACTGGAGTGCACTTTGGGTGTCATTATGTTTTTTGTTTTTCTCAGAGGAAACTTTGGAAGGTGTTCTGGGAATATTCATTTTATTTTAAAAGCTCTTCCTTAGAAAGAGAGAGCCAGCAGCAAACAAGCAACCAAACAAACCCCACCCCCAGATGTAGTTAGTGAAGAAGAACTTGAAAACAGCCAAGAAACAAAAAGCAATCTCAACCCTTTGTACAAACTATTTTTTATCTCAAGGGAAAGAGGCAGATTAAGTACGAAGGTGCAATAAATACCAAGGAGACCACTTCTTCCCAAGTATGCTCAGAGTTTAGTGTGCAGAACAGCTGCAGAAACCCCTGGGCCCGCAGCACTGTGCAGTTTCACCTTTCATTGTGGGGAAGGACACATTTCTACGCCTTCCTTGAAGCTTGAAAGCCTGGCCAAGTTTGGGAAGAAGAGGAGCTCTCTCAGCCTCAAGAGCCTTCCTGCTCTTTGGAACTTTTCCCACAGTGGGTCAAGCTTGACAAGAGTTCAGCTCAAGTTGAAAACATACACACACACACACACACACACAATTATGTGAGCAGTCAGAATCCAAGTGAACACAACTCAAGTTATCTGCAAAGCTTTTACATTACAAAGTCAACCATCTCAATCCAGAGGATTTCTTCTTCTTCTTCTTCTTCTTTTTAATGAAAAGCTTAGGAGGCACACAAATCTGTGTTATAGATTTTTAATGGATTTTTAAACAGAGTTTATTCTTAGCATGTGGCGCTCTATATAGCCACATCACAATTTGTACAGTTCCACATAGGTCTAAATGCACTCCCCTTACCACCAAGATTTTGACCCGGGATAAGACAATAATATCTCTATTGTCAATATTTTAAATAAATGCAAGGAAGGGAAACTAACATGTCACACCTACCATCAAGGTCTATACATTTTAATAATTAAATAATCTTGTGAGGTCCACAATGTCTGCTCATTTATTCAGTTCAATACAAGCTTGTAGGAGCTGCCTTAACAAGGAAGAGGAAAGTAAGTGAGGTGGGGGAAAAGGTCTGTTTTCTTCTGCTTGCAACAAATATGCATGTTCATATATCCCTAGTCAGCATGGGCTGTCCAACTGACTTCAGTCATCTCAAGAGTATTTGATGCCAAAGTGGTTCTTCTCAGGTACCCAAACCTGGCAGCCTGTGCAGGACAGCAGGTTGTTCCACCAGCCAGCATCCTGGCCAATCCTCCTCTCTTAGGCAGCAACCAGCCTACACTCTTGCTGGGATAATGTCTTCATGTCTGTTATCCTTTCTACCAATGTGGGTTTTATTTTGGTGTCTGTGATGATTCAGACAAGGAGGGGTGGAGGGGAAAAGGAACCGAGAACAAAAGCAGGTAAGGGGAAGAAAGTGGCCAAGATCTTCAGAGGATTATATGGAGGAGGGAATGGGTGTGGAGGCGCCTGGGTGGGCATGAGGGTGGGCGTGGGGGCTCTGAGTTTGTGCTTTCCCTGGGGGCACAGCGGAGGCCGAAGCCGAGTTGGAGGAGCGCATCTTGGTGTTGGGCAGTTTGTGATCTTTCTTCCACTTCATCCTCCGATTTTGAAACCAGATCTTCACCTGGCGCTCGGACAAGCAGAGCGTGTGGGCGATCTCGATGCGGCGGCGCCGGGTCAGATAGCGGTTAAAGTGGAACTCCTTCTCCAGCTCCAAGACCTGCTGCCGGGTATAGGCGGTTCGAGAACGCTTGGGCTCCCCTCCGTTATAACTGGGGTTGACTGAACGCCCAGAACCCCGGAGGAGAAGGCCAAGGAGAAGGGAGTGGAAGAGAGGAAAGGGAAAAGAGGAGGAGAGAGAAAGTGGGGTGGGGAAGAGCAATTGGACATCATCATTATATAATAACCTGACACCAAGTTCACGCAAGATACATAAAACGGCAAAGAAAATGTTTCACAGGCTATTGACAACGGGAAACACCCGAGAGCCATAAAGAATGGTGCTGGGCATTGGGGTTGAAGAAAAGCTTCAAAGACACATGGCCCGAAGCCTCTGCCAGGGCAATTAAATTTATGGGGGCTATAATTACTGCCCTAACAGTTTGGCGTCTCGTAAATCTCCCGATAAAGGGACTCCGGGTACAAAAGGGTTCTCACGTTGGGATCAAGCGGCTGGAGCGCACACACTCATCTCCACTGCAGCCTGGGCCAGATGGGGACTCCCCTCTCCGAGGCCCCCTTCCCCTCGGCCTCTCCCTCCTGACCCCCGCCTCGACCCTGGAACTCCAGCCCGGCCCACCCTCCCCGCTGCTCCCCGGCGGCGGCGCCACGTACCCGCACTGACATGGATCTTCTTCATCCAGGGGTACACCACGGGCTCCTTGCCTTTCAGGCCTGGCAGGCTCTTGTCCGCCAGGAGCAGCGGGCACGCGGGGGCGCTGCCCACTGCCGGGGCGCCCGGGGTGGCCGGGGCCGCCTCACAGC